TGAGAATTGTTTTATTATGTTTTATTTTTATTATTTTATTACTTCCCTTCTACGTGACTTTACCGAAAGAAACAAGAAGATGAATCCCTGCAGTCACGAAAGCTTTAAATCGAAATTTAACCGCCTCTACGGGGAGGGTTTCCACATAACTTTGAGATCCTTCAACAAGCTCCGGGATAAGAAGGCTCAGCTAATCGAGTCTCTCACCTTTCTGAAGAGATGCCGCGACTCTAAGGTAATACCAAACGCATTTACACTAACATCTGCTGCTGTAACTTCTTCTAATGCGAAACGAATTCTGTCTAGAACTAGCTTAGCTCTTATCTCAGAGAAAATCAGACTTACGCGCACCGAACTAGATCAGTTAGACAAGACACTCTACAAATCACACTTATCTTTGAGTGTAACAATGTCCACATCGGATTGGGAACATGTGGAAAAAATGACTGCCTCTTCAGCTGCCGCTATGTCGACTAAATGTAAGGACAACTTGATTTCCAAATTCAATCGCCTCTCAAACAAGAAACCGGACCCACACATTGAAAAGCTAGATATTAACAAAGTCGTAATTAATCGCAGTAACAGTCCTATTTCTGAAGGTTTGAAATCCGTTTTAGCTAAAGGACTAAACTTTGCAGTCACACCTAGACACATACCAGTTAATGATATAATTGCTCGAGTAGATGTAGCTCTCAAGGGCTTGAGTCACATCGCTGCAGACGTAGCAAGATCCGAAATCTCTGTAACCCTCAAAAACGCTAAGATGCCAGCTAGCAACATCAGCAAAGAGGAGCGTTTTGAATTAGCTCAATTAAAAAAGAGGGATGACATTGTCATCCTCTCAGCCGACAAAGGCAATGCCACTGTCATCATGGACAAAATAGAATACAACAACAAAATTCAAGAACTACTAAACGATGGCAGCTATACAAAAATAAAAAGAGACCCCACCAACAGCCTCGTCTCCAAAACCAACAACATCATTTCTGCTTCAACCGCATTAATTGATCAGACCAAACAGTTCTCGTTGAAACCTTCTGCAGCCAGACCACCAAGATTGTACGGCTTGCCAAAGATACATAAAGAAGATACACCTCTTCGTCCCATTGTCTCTACTATCAACTCCCCCACTTACAAACTGGCTCGTTTTTTGTCCGAAATCCTACGGCCTTTCACTGGAAAAACCACCTCTGCAGTACTAAACTCTACTGACCTGGTATCGACAATCAAGGGGATTGCCCTGTCCCCAGACGACCTGCTTGTCAGTTTTGATGTGGTTTCCTTGTTCACCAAGGTACCTGTGCCTGACACCATCGCAATCATTGAAGACTTGGTTCATCAAGGACTGAATGCTGGGGTACCCCCCCTGGTGAGACACTGCTTAACCAATACATACTTCACCTGGAATGGAACCTTCTACAAGCAAATTGAGGGCACCCCAATGGGCTCCCCCCTATCTCCGGTTGTAGCCAACATCTTCATGGAGAAATTTGAGACGGACGCCATCCAGACTGCCACTCTACGCCCGACCTTATGGAAGAGGTACGTAGACGACACTTTTGTCATCTGGCCACATGGCCGGCCTGCTCTAGACCAATTTCTCGACCACATCAATTCCATACACCCAGCCATCAGATTCACCATGGAAGTCGAAAATGATGGCAAGCTACCCTTTTTGGATGTCCTAATCAAAAGGAGACTTGATGGTTCAATGAGCCACTCTGTCTACAGGAAAGCCACCCACACGGATGCTTATCTAAAACCGGATTCCCACCACCATCCATCTCAGAAGAATTCCCTCATCAAGACTCTATATCATAGAGCCCAATGCATCTCCGACCATGAACACATTTCCAGTGAACTCAAACACGTACGCCAAGCTCTTAAGGCAAATGGTTACTCCGACTATACAATCCGCAAAGCCATCACTCCAACCATCAAGAAGGATCCTGTTGAGGAGCCTTTCAAGACCATCACCTTACCCTACATTGCTGGGGTCACAAAAAAGATCTCCAAAATCCTGATTAAACACAAGATCCAGGTCCGATTCAACACAGTACATAAAATCCGTGATCTGGTACCGTCTGTAAAAGATGTGGTTCCAGACATACAGTACCCTGGCGTCTACAAACTAAGTTGCCTCTGTGGTAGCAGTTACATTGGGGAAACCAAACGACATGTCTCGGACCGCATCCGTGAACATAAAGCTGACCTGAAACACGGTAGGACTAACACCTCAGCCGTGGCAGATCACTGTTACAACTCAGTGGGCTCACATGATATTGACTTCTCCAAGACAGAGGTTCTCTGCAAGCCATCTGGCTATCATGAGAGATTCGTTCATGAGGCGATCCACATATACAAACACAGAGACAACTTTAACCGAGAAGATGGATTCTGGCTCAGCAATCATTGGAAGGACGTAATAAACCATTTCGATACACATTAGGGTGTGTAGAATAATACATAGTGTGATATTAAATGTATAAGATATAGGTTGGTTTACAGCAATACAGTATATAATTTAATGTTGGGTTTATCTATGGCAGTATATAGTACGGTATATGCTCGTGTGATGTAAGAGAATAAGGTTTAGATGGAAGCGTATTATAGAATTTTTACGAGGTAAAATTGTAATGTATTACTTGCTGTTAGTAACTCAGCTTATTATAGAGTATAGTAAGTATACTGATGGTGCGATGCAGTTTATACTTTAGTTTTTTATGTAGTTTATACTTTAGTTTTCTACGTGGTTGTTGAGTAACTGCAGCTACATATCATTAACATTCCTTTCCTTTGTTACTGCTAATCCTTGCACCCCCCTTGGTTGCTGCTGATCCTGCATAATGCATGGGCATAATATGACTTTGACACCCCCCCGCCCAACGCCTACGCATTTTCCATGAATATGCTAAATCCCTCTTCACATGCACATTCTTTTTGTTAAGGCGCTCTTCAACCCCCAATGCAGCTTATATATAAGCTCCTAGTTTGGTAGTGTCTCATTCTTCACCTGAAGACGGCTGCTTGCGTTGTAGCCGAACGTCGTGAGAATTGTTTTATTATGTTTTATTTTTATTATTTTATTACTTCCCTTCTACGTGACTTTACCGAAAGAAACAAGAAGACGCGTATTTAAGACGTGGATTACAGACTCAACCGTTCAATGCTTTTCAAGGCACAGGCAAAACAAATAACATGTAAAAAAAAACTAATTAAAATATAATATAAAAAATACTAATGCCCCGTGTGAGGATCGAACTCACGACCTTCAGATTATGAGACTGACGCGCTACCTACTGCGCTAACGAGGCATCTGAACCACACCCGCCTCGTCAACACTTATCTATCCAACGCGGAACATGTGTATCGTTAAATTATATATTAAGTTTTAACGTAACATCTAAAAAAATTATCCGTTCAACGGTATATATAAAAGAAAATCTTCCCACGTTACTTTCATGAAGGCAGTGTGTTAAGAGACCACAACGTTTATATGCAAACGAAATTATTCATAACAACGATTGTAAACGCAACACGCAATTGTGCGGTAACTGTAGTGTACACGAATCTATTATTCCGTAATGTTACTTATTAGGCAATCACCGTACCGGTGTCTGAGTTATAAATAGATTTTATAGAATGCCTCGATCTTGTACAGCGATGGTGGTATAGTGGTGAGCATAGCTGCCTTCCAAGCAGTTGACCCGGGTTCGATTCCCGGCCATCGCAACGCAAATTTTTTTTTACATTTATATTTTTTTCATGAATTCTTCCTTGCAATGTTTACGACACGAGGCGTTGGCGAAAGCGGGGTGGTGGGTAAGACTTTTACCAACACACCCAGAATGCAACCAATTGATTGTGCGCCCCGAGTGGCAACGCAATTGCCTCGTTGTGCCGCCGTCTGCCGTCCAATGGGTGTAATTGCACCTCCAAGTGCGGCGACACAAAATGTCATAAAGCCGATGAGCTGTAAAGCTCTTTGTTTTTCGACAGACATCCTGCGTGTGATTCAAGTGTCAGCCCCCCCTCTCCCCCCCCCCCCCCCCCCGATTGAGGTCACGGTAGAAACCATCATCACTTGCCGACGTGGGTATTTTTAAATCCTTTATATTAAGTTCGCTTGCTTGCTTGCGCGCTTACGACCGTGCAAATCTTTCGGTCGTTTTTTAACCCACTTCCCGTGATCCAATCGAGCTGACATTTTGCACACAGACTCGTTGTGCGAGACAATTAATGTTCGTGACAATTTTTTTTCCAAAATTTTACACTGTTTAGGGAAAACAAATTAAATATTTAATTACCAATTGCTTAATACTGGCAGACAATCATCTGACCCATAGGTGGCAGCCATCTCAAGCCAGAGGACGAGAGGACTCTAGCCGCCACGCATATAAAGGATTTATAGTGAAAAACTTTGTTTTTACGGGTTAATTTTTATTTCCTCCCTCCCCCACCCACTTTTTATTATTACAACCGCGTTAAACAGGGCTTCGCAAAAGCGTAAAACAAACGAAACGCACAAAACAAGAGAAACAAACCGAGGACGACTAAAGCGCCACTCGGAAAGCCGCACGGACGTGTCGGTGGGTGTGTCGTAAAAACCAAACGCCTGCGTCGGAAATCGACCCGCGGCGGCGACGTCGTGTAAACGTCGTGAACGTGGGTCGTCGTAAATCGGAAACCGGGCGCATGGGCAAACGGAAGTGTCACGTGGACAGGATTCCCCCACAACCACCACCACCACCTGCCCACGTGCCGCCTCCACGGGGTGCTGAGACAATAAAGAGACTTTTTTCTTCTTGGTTCTTTCGGTAAAGTCATCACGTAGAAGGGAAGTAATAAAATAATAAAAATAAAACATATAATTCTCACGGCGTTTCGGCCACAACGCAAGCAACCGTCCTCAGGTGAAACCAGGATCTCTAGACAATAGACCGACTGACCAGACTCAACCTTCGCAATAATAATTTGAATAACAACAAAGTAATCAGGAACACAGTTCAGCATCTGCAGAATACACCGAATGCATTTTATTTGCATATTAATTTTGAACAGGTTCATCATACATTCAAGGGTGATTGGCACTTCGCCGAATCGACCGTGCATCAGAAATCTGGTGGGCAAGCGACAGCGAGGCGCGGAATTCCGTAACTCCGGATGGACCGTGGCCGACGGCGACGCCGACGATGACGCCGACGGTGACGCCGACGGTGACGCCGACGCCAACGGCGACGCCAACAATGACGCCGACGGCGACGCCGACGATGACGCCGACGGTGACGCCGACGGTGACGCCGACGCCAACGGCGACGCCAACAATGACGCCGACGGTGACGCCGACGGTGACGCCGACGGTGACGCCGACGGTGACGCCGACGCCAACGGCGATGCCGACGATGACACCGACGGTGACGCCGACGGCGACGCCGACGGCGACGCCGACGGCGATGCCGACGATGACACCGACGGTGACGCCGACGGTGATGCCGACGGTGACGCCGACAATGACGCCGACGGCAACGCCAACGGTGACTTCGATGCCGACGGTGATGGCGGCGCTAGCATCGTCGCTTCGGCACGCGCGGCAACTGTTTTCTTTTTACACGCAAATAAATCTTTAGCGTCTCCCGCTTTGGTCATTAGACGCACGCACGCACCATCCTCGCTCTCTCTCTCTCGCTGTGTTCACGGGCCGGGGGGGGGGGGGGAAGCTGTAAGTGATGGCGGCGGAGGCGACGACGATATTTGCGGCCGAGATTTATAGACGGAGCGCTGCAAAAAATTCACCGGACAGATCGCGCCCGCCGCCCGACCCCGGGTTGGGGACAGGAATGGTCTCGCGTACCCGAGACCACCTCCCTGGAAGCCGCGCGTGGGGCCACGCTGGAATATTGGCGGGCGAGGGAAGAGGGGATTGATTGCTCGCTGCACGAGTCACAGAGACAAAGATCCCCCCCCCGTGTCGCCTTGGACAGGCTTTTGAAGGCCACACGGGGAGGAAAGTGCTGTTCGTCGCCGGTAGCGTAACGGTGGCGAGCGTTGTCATGTTGGGATGAGGTCGGGGTGCGTTTCTAAGCGTGCCGTCTGCTGCGTAGCGGTAGCGAGGGGTGCCTTGTAGCGGGTGGCACATCACGTGGTGTACAGGAGGTCGTGGGTTCGATCCTGATCCTGACGCCTGCTGCTGTATATTTGGAGTCTGCGTGTCTTTCTCCGTGGTGAGATGTTAACTACCTCGCCTGGTATACAGGAGGTCGTGGGTTCGATCCTGACCCTGACACCTGCTGCTGTATATTTGGAGTCTGCGTGTCTCTCTCTCTCATCATCATCATCACGGTGGCTAGGAGATGTTAACTACCTCGCCTGGTGTACAAGAGGTCGTGGGTTCGATCTTGACCCCGACGCCTGCTGCTGTATATTTGGAGTCTGCGTGTCTCTCTCTGCCCGTGATGGTCGCGTGGAATTTTCTCCGGGGTCCTCGGGTTTTTCCTCTCTCCACGTTCACAAGCGACGTCGCCACGCGTTTAGGAGTATTTGGCTGCTGTAAATTTCCACGCGACGACGACGACGATGATGATGATGCCCCACTTGGTTGAGCTATCGTTTGTGATGGCCGGGTCGTGTCTGAAAAAAAGAGCTGCATCGCTCAGCGGGGCCTTGCCTGGTAAAATAAAAAAAACTTCACGGCTTATAGTTGACATCGGGGTGTAACGATACGTGGCGTGTCGGAGTGTCGGAGTGTTCTCTGTCACTCCTGAGCCGGGGCCAGCCTCTTGATGAGAGGGTTGTCGTAAATCCAGCACTCTCCATCCTCGTGGAATAACTACACAGAGACAAAGATCCCCCGCATAGCCTCAACAGACTGTTCGAGCAAGTGCTGTTAGCGAGTAGCAGCAGCGCCTATGAAGGAGACAAAGACAAAGATCCCCCGTGTAGCCTCTAACAGACTGTTGGGGCAAGTGCTGTTAGCGAGTAGCAGCAGCACCTATGAAGGAGACAAAGACAAAGTTCCCCCGTGTAGCCTCTAACAGACTGTCAGGGCAAGTGCTGTTAACGAGTAGCAGCAGCGCCTATGAAAGGCAGCACGGCACGTGAGAGGGGGGTGGGTGGACAACGCCACCCCCGGCCGCGTTTGTCTCCCCAGTGGCGATGTTTACACGCAGCACCAGCTGCTCATTTTCGAAGCCGAATCCACCGATGGGAGACCAAGTCACCAATTCAGGTAATCGTCACCGATGTCGGCAGCGAGCAGGAATCAAAACTTGGGGGGCCACGTTTGTAGCACGGTGCACGAAGCACTGCAATGCTGCTCTCCATAATTACCAGCACCTTCACCAGCAGCTTCACCACCAGCTTCACCACCACCATCACGACCACAATCATTGCCACTATCACCACCGTCACCACCACCACCATCGTCACCACCATAACCGTCGTCACCGTCACCACCACCACCATCGTCACCACCACCACGCCACCATCACCGCCGCCACCACCGTCATCGCCACCACCACCACCGCCGCCACCACCACCACCACCGCCGCCACCACCACCACCGCGGGCGCGAGTACCTTGGTGCGCCAGGCGTCCCCGCTCTCCTTGCGCCCGCGCGCCTCGGCCCGCTGCTGCTCCTCCAGGTAGTGCTTGGCGTCGGTGGCGCGGTCGATGTCCCCCGCCTTGAGGCTGCTCGTCACGTCACGCCACAGCCTACGGCAACACCACGGCAGCCGCCGTTGGCCAGGAGATGTTAACCACCTCGCCTGGTGTGCAGGAGGTCGTGGGTTCGATCCCGACCCTGACGACGCCTGCTGCTGTATATTTGGAGTCTGCGTCTCTCTCTCATCATCATCACGGTGGCTAGGAGATGTTGACTACTTCGCCTGGTATGCAGGAGGTCGTGGGTTCGATCCCGACCCTGACGATGCCTGCTGCTGCTGCTGCTGTATATTTGGAGTCTGCGTGTCTCTCTCTCTCTCTCATCATCATCACGGTGGCTAGGAGATGTTAACTACCTCGCCTGGTGTGCAGGAGGTGGTGGGTTCGATCCCGACCCTGACGACGCCTGCTGCTGTATATTTGGAGTCTGCGTCTCTCTCTCATCATCATCACGGTGGCCAGGAGATGTTGACTACTTTGCCTGGTATGCAGGAGGTCGTGGGTTCGATCCCGACCCTGACGATGCCTGCTGCTGTATATTTGGAGTCTGCGTGTCTCTCTCTCTCTCTCATCATCATCACGGTGGCTAGATGTTAACTACCTCGCCTGGTGTGCAGGAGGTCGTGGGTTTGATCCCAACCCTGACAATGTCTGCTGCAGTATATTTGGAGTCTGTGTGTCTCTCTCTCTCATCATCATCACAGTGGCTCGGAGATGTTAACCACCTCACCTGGTATACTCATTTATGGCCGAGGTGACTTAGGAGAGACCAAAACCAGAAGTACATTTTAGGCCAAGCGGGGCTGAAGGTGGACGGTCCGGTCAACCTCGATGCGTCCACCACTCGGAGCTCGGTTGAAGCCGACAATCGGTACACCGATGTCTGTGGCCATGAGCGGGAATCGAACTAGGGTCGCCGGGTTCGTAGCGCAGCGTCAGAACCGCTCCCCACACCTTCACGACTGACATCGCCACCACCACCACCACACCGCAACCACCATCACCACGACCGCCACCACCGTCACCATCACTCGCATCACCGCCACCACCATCACTATTACTATCATCACCACCACGACCACCACCACCACCACCACCACACAACCACCACCACCACCACACAACCACCACCAGCACCACCACGACCGCCACCACTGTCATCATCACTAGCATCACCGCCACCACCGTCACTATCACTATCATCATCATCACCACCACCACGACGAACACCACTATCACTATCACCACCACCACGACCACCACCATGACCACTATCACCACCACCGCCGCCACTACCACGGCCACCGCCATCGCGAGCACCTCGGCACAACCGTTGCGTGCCCCCCGCTCTCCCCACGGCGAGGCTCCACCGGACACTCATTGCGGCCGAGTCGACCGAGCGAGCGGGCAGCAGGAGGAGGAGGCTCCGGCTTACCGCCGTGACTCGAACTCTCCCTGGTCCTCGATCCTGCGCACCTTCTTCTTGGTGATGGGAATGGACTTGGTGTCCACAAAGACGCTGCTCTCCTGTCACGCAAAGGCAAAGTTCCCCACCAACCCCGGTTAGGCGCGCAGGCCGCTGGGGCAAGTGCTGCTAGCCAGCAGCGAGCACCGACCAAGGCCGGCACCGTAACACGACGTGGGTGGGTGGCCAGCACCACGCCCGCCCGGCCGTCTTTGTCTCTCCCTAAGTGACGATGCTTGCTACACACACACCGCAAAAGGTACAGAGTCTACGACCTCGGGGAGACCCAGGACCAGTTCAGATAATCGTTGCCGGTGTTCGCCGTGAGCGGAGTATCGAACTCGGGTAGCCGTGCTTCGTAGCACAGCGTAGCGCTAACCGCTGCACCACCGCTCCCCCCACAGTACCTCGCCCAGACAAAGACGAGAAAAAGACAAAGACCCCCCGTAAAGTCTTAACAGACTGTTGGGCCAAGTGCCGTGAGCAAGTAGCACCTATGAAGGCCGGCACGGCACACGACGGGGTGGGTGGCCAGCACCAGGCTCGGCCACCTGTCTCCCCAGTGCCGATGTGTGCATCGCTGTGTGCATCGCTGTGTGCATCGCTGTCTGTCTCTGTCCCCGTGTGTCCCGCGTGCATCCCCGCGTTTGCCTGCGTGTGTCCCTGTGCGTGTCCCCACGTGTCCTCCCCATCCCCGTGTGTGTCCCCGACCCCGTGTGTGTCCCCGTGTGTGTCCCCGTGTGTGTCCCCGTGTGTGTCCCCGTGTGTGTCCCCGCGTGTGTCCCCGCGTGTGTCCCCGTGTGTGTCCCTGTGCGTGTCCCCACGTGTCCTCCCCATCCCCGTGTGTGTCCCCGACCCCGTGTGTGTCCCCGTGTGTGTCCCCGTGTGTGTCCCCGACCCCGTGTGTGTCCCCGCGTGTGTCCCCGCGTGTGTCCCCGCGTGTGTCCCCGCGTGTGTCCCCGTGTGTGTCCCCGACCCCGTGTGTGTCCCCGTGTGTGTCCCCAGCGTGTGTCCCCGACCCCGTGTGTGTCCCCGACCCCGTGTGTGTCCCCGTGTATGTCCCCGTGTGTGTCCCCGCGTCTGTCCCCAGCGTGTGTCCCCGACCCCGTGTGTGACCCCGCGTGTATCCCCGCGTGTCCCCGCGCACTGACCCCCGTGCTCCACTTGGCGTGCATCGTGCCGTTCCACTCGCCCTCGATCAACACAAAGGGCTTCTTCTCGTTCGGGGAGCTGTGGCGGTGTCACAGCAACAACAACAACAAACAACAACAACAAACAACAACAAAACTGTCTCTCTCTCTCTCGCACGGCTTGTGAAGAGCAACTGGCCCAAGCATAGTAAGCGAGTGTGGAGCCTGGTAATCCATCCCACGGCGTGTCAACACGACGCGCCAACGCCCATCCCTGGCGTCGTTTCTCCGCGGAACGCGTTGAGGCGATAAGCACCACGTGCCGATAGCCGTTCGCCGAGTTGCGGGTGTCAAGTGCCGAGTGCCGAGTGGCGAGTGCCGAGGGCCGATAGATGTTTGCCGAGTTGCGGGTGTCGAGTGCCGAGTGCCGTGTGATGTGTGCCGAGTGATGAGCGATGTATGCCGAGTGCCGCGTGTTGCCGTACAGGATTTCGGCGCTGATGCGGTGCTTGGAGCCGCCATAGAAGGGCTTGGTGTGGAAGTTGACGGTGGCCGTGAAGCCCGACTTGGCGCAGCTGATTGTGCACTCCCCTCCCAGCTCCACCCACGGCACCGTCAGGATAGACCTGGGAAAAAGACAAAGACAAAGATCCCCCCCCCCCCCCGTATAGCCTTAATGGGCTGTTGGGGCAAGTGCTGTTACCGAGCGCCTACGAAGGCCGACACGACGCAGCGAGGCGGGTGGGCGGTCAACGCCACGCCCGGCCGCCTTTGTTTCCCTCGACGCGAGTTTCACTGCGCACCGCACCAGGCTCTCATTTGAGGCCGCGTCGACCTGGACGGAGGCCCGGGGCCGGTTCGGGGGGGGGGGGGCGGCAGCGGCGTGCTCCAGACAGCTGCAGAGAGCCACAGCTGGAAGCATTGGCCACGGCGAGGCCGCAAGATTGATGGGGCGGCAGGGGAGGCAGAGCTGCACCCCGTGGTAGGGTAGCTGCTGTGTCCGTAGCTGCACCATGGTGTAGTGTAGTGTGTAGTGTAATGTAGTGTAGTATGTAGTGTAGTGTGTAGCATAGTGTTGTGTGTAGAGTGTAGTGTAGTGTGTAGCGTAGTGTAGTGTGTAGTGTAGTGTGGTGTGTAGCGTAGTGTAGTGTGTAGCATAGTGTTGTGTGTAGCGTAGTGTAGTGTGAAGCATAGTGTAGTGTGTAGCGTAGTGTAGTGTGTAGTGTAGTGTGTAGCGTAGTGTAGTGTGGTGTTTAGTGTGGTGTAGTGTAATGTGTAGTGTCATGTATAGTGTAGTGTAATGTGTTGTGTAATGCGTAGTGATTAGTGTAGCGTGTCGTATATAGTACACTGTATAGTGTAGTGTATAGTGCAGTGTATAGTGTCGTGTATAGTGTAGAGTAGTGTGTAGTGCGTGCGTGAGTGCGTGAGTACGTGAGTACGTGAGTGCGTGAGTGCGTGAGTGAGTGAGTGAGTGCGTGCGTGCGCGCAACTCCGTACCGTCCGTATCCGTTGGGGAAGGTGATGATGTAATCCTCGTCGTGATCCAGCAGAGAGACGCAGCCTGCCGGCGCACACACCCGGAGCGAGCGCGGTGAGTGCGGTGAGTGCGGTGAGTGCGGTGGTGAGTGCGGTGGTGAGTGCGGCGGTGAGTGCGGCGGTGAGTGCGGTCATGGTGAGTGGGAGTGTGGTTGTCAGTGTGAGTGTGGCGGTGAGTGTGGCGGTGAGTGTGGCGGTGAGTGTGGCGGTGAGTGTGGTGGTGGTGAGTGGGAGTGTGGTTGTCAGTGTGAGTGTGGCGGTGAGTGTGGCGGTGAGTGTGGCGGTGAGTGTGGCGGTGAGTGTGGCGGTGAGTGTGGCGGTGAGTGTGGCGGTGAGTGTGGTGGTGAGTGTGGCGGTGAGTGTGGTGGTGAGTGTGGCGGTGAGTGTGGTGGTGGTGAGTGGGAGTGTGGTTGTCAGTGTGAGTGTGGCGGTGAGTGTGGCGGTGAGTGTGGCGGTGAGTGTGGCGGTGAGTGTGGCGGTGAGTGTGGCGGTGAGTGTGGTGGTGGTGAGTGGGAGGGTGGGTGTTACTGTGAGTGTGGCGGTGAGTGTGGCGGTGAGTGTGGCGGTGAGTGTGGTGGTGAGTGTGGCGGTGAGTGTGGTGGTGAGTGTGGCGGTGATTGTGGTGGTGGTGAGTGGGAGTGTGGTTGTCAGTGTGAGTGTGGCGGTGAGTGTGGCGGTGAGTGTGGCGGTGAGTGTGGCAGTGAGTGTGGCGGTGGTGAGTGGGAGTGTGGTTGTCAGTGCGAGTGTGGCGGTGAGTGTGAGTGTGGTTGTCAGTGCGAGTGTGGCGGTGAGTGCAGCGGTGAGTGTGGCGGTGAGTGGGAGTGTGGTTGTCAGTGTGAGTGCGGTGGTGAGTGTGAGTGTGGTGGTGAGTGCGGCGGTGAGTGAGGCGGTGAGTGAGGCGGTGAGTGTGGCGGTGAGTGTGGCGGTGAGTGGCGGGAGGGATGGGGGTGGGGAGGGGTGGGGGGGGTGGGGGGGGTACCTTGCCCGATGTTGTGCACGCCGATGGACATGCCCAGGAACTTGGACTTGGTCCAGATATGAGCGTTGAACTGGATCCTCCTGGAGTGGCACTCGGCGTAGAAGGCCGAGACTGCCATGGCGAGGATTCGGGAAGGGAGGGAGGGGGGAGGGTCACATGGCGGTGTGACAGAGGAGTGTCACAGGGGAGGGTCACATGGCGGTATGACACACCGACTTCGGCACGTGTCGTGGCGACGGGTACTGCAAGGTCGCAGAACCCGTCACCACGGCAAGTCCGTCTGGTCCGCCAAAGAGCGTCAACTCCGGTCATCATGCTTGCAGCAGCAGCAGTAGCAGCAGTAGCAGCAGCAGCAGCAACAGCAGCAACAGCAGCAACAGCAGCAGCAGTAGCAGCAGCAACAGCAGCAGCAACAGCAGCAACAGCAGCAGCAACAGCAGCAGCAACAGCAGCAGCAACAACAGCAGCAGCAGCAACAGCAGCAGCAACAGCAACCGCAGCAGCAACAGCAGCAGCAGCAGCAGCAGCGGGCTGGACAGTCCAACCAGGACGGTGGTGGTCACCGCATCATTATCACCACAAAGGTGGTCGGGCGTGGTGCTGGCCACCCACCTCCCCCCTCCTCGTGTTCCAAAGTGCCGGCCTACATAGGTGCTGCTGCTACTCGCTAACAGCACTTGTCCCGACAGCCTGTTGAGGTACACGGGGGATCTTTGTCTTTGTCTCCTTCATAGGCGCTGCTGCTACTCGCTAACAGCACTTGCCCCTGACAGTCTGTTGAGGCTACACGGGGGACCTTTGTCTTTGTCTCCTTCATAGGAGCTGCTGGTACTCGCTAACAGCACTTGCCCCTACAGCCTGTTGAGGCTACACGGGGGATCTTTGTCTTTGTCTCCTTCATAGGCGCTGCTGCTACTTGCTAACAGCACTTGCCCCTACAGCCTGTTAGAGGCTACACGAGGGATCTTTGTCTTTGTCTCCTTCATAGGCGCTGCTGCTACTCGCTAACAGCACTTGCCCCTACAGCCTGTTAGAGGCTACACGGGGGATCTTTGTATTTGTCTCTCTCATAGGCGCTGCTGCTACTCGCTAACAGCACTTGCCCCGACAGTCTGCCAAGGCTACACAGGGGATCTTTGTCTTCCTATTTTTTTATTTCACCAGGCAAGGCCCACTGAACTAAAGGGCTATTTCAAAGCAACCAGGCCACAAAGGTGAGCTCAACAAAGTGGCTAATCACGTGGACATTTATAGCAGCCAAATGCTCTGAACGCACCTCGATTCTAAATGTGGAGGGGAAAACCGGGAGGACCCCAAGAAAAATCCACCCGACCACGGGGAGAGTGAGAGAGACGCAAACTCCAAACATACGTGAAGGTCGGAATCGCAACCCCACGACCTCCTGTACACCAGGCGAGGTAGTTAACATCTCCTAGCCTCCGTGATGATGATGATGAGAGAGACACGCAAACTTCAACTATATCGTCAGGGTCGGGATCGAACCCACGCCCTCCTGTACACCAGGCGAGGTAGTCAACATCTCCTAGCCAGCGTGGGCGCCCCTTGTGTGAACAGCGCGCGACTCACTGGGCGGGTGGTGAGACACCTGCTCGGCAATGAACGTCACGCTGCCCTTGGTCGCCCACGGGACCGGCCCGTCCGCCGCCAGCTCCTGCTGGAGGGAGGGGACATCACGCGGTGACGTCGGCAGGCGCCGTCATCACCAGCGTCACCAGAACCATCAATGTCGTCGTCAGCATCGTCGTCATTGCCAGCGCTATCAACATCAGCACCACCATCAACACGAGGACCATCATCACCAGCGGCAAAACCATCACCATCATCATCAGCACCATCACCATCATAACCAGAACCATCAACGTCATCGTCAGCATCATCGTCATCGCCGGCGCCATCAACACCAGCGCCACCATCAACACGAGCACCATCATCATCGTCAACACAATCGTCATCATCAGCACCATCGTCATCATCAGCACCATCGTCATCATCAGCACCATCGTCATCATCAGCACCATCATCACCAGCATCAGAACCATCATCATCATCGTCAACACGATCGTCATCATCAGCACCATCATCACAAGCGCCACAATCAACACGAGCACCATCATCATCAGCGCCAAAACCATCACCATCATTGTCAGCACCTTCATCATCACCAGCACCATCTCCAGCACTATCATCATCACCATCAGCACCAACGTCACCATCATCACCATTACCATCATTAACACCAGCACCATCATCATCATCATCACTACCACCATCATCATCAGCACCATGGTTGGGCGGGGGGGGAGAGATGGGGTAGGGGGGGAGTGGTGGTGGTGGGGAGGGGGGGCTAGTGATGTGGGAGCTAGTGGGGGGTAGTGGTGGGAGGGGGGAGTGGTGGGGGGAGAGTAGTGGTGGTGGGGGTAGTGGTGGTGGGGGTAGTGGTGGGGGGAGGGTAGTGGTGGGGGGGGGGTGATGAAGGTAGTGGTAGGGGGGGGTAGTGGTGGGGGAGTAGTGGTGGGGGGGGAGTAGTGGAGGAGTGGTGGCGGGTGTGGTGGGGGCACTGACGCTGGTCTCTTCCGCTGGGGCTGCCGGCACGGCCGCCACGACCTCTCCCTGCTGCTGCTGCTGCTGGTGCTGCTGCTGCTGGTGGTGGTGGTCGGGCACGGTCCAGTGGCAGTGAAACGTCTCGCCCAGGATGGGGTTGTACGGCTTCTTGGCGACGGACCCCTTGCGCCCGGCGTGGAACGAGGAGAGGTACCAGCGCACGACGCCCACCATGCGCTCGCGCGCGTCCACGCCGCCCGCCACGCTGGGAGACGCGGGGAGGGGGGGACACACGTAGGGTGACATTAGGAGACGTGGGGAGACGCAGGGCGAGTGTGGTGGTGGGTGTGGCGGTGAGTGTGGTGGTGGGCATGGTGGTGAGTGTGGTGGTGAGTGTGGTGAGCGTGGTGGTGAGTGTAGTGGTGAGTGTGGTGGTGTGTGTGGTGGTGAGTGTGGTGGTGAGCGTGGTGGTGAGCGTGGCGGTGAGTGTAGTGGTGAGTGTAGTGGTGGGCATGGTGGTGAGTGTGGTGGTGAGCGTAGTGGTGAGTGTGGTGGTGAGTGTGGTGGTGAGTGTGGTGGTGAGCGTGGTGGTGAGCGTGGCGGTGAGTGTAGTGGTGAGTGTAGTGGTGGGCATGGTGGTGAGTGTGGTGGTGAGCGTGGTGGTGAGCGTGGTGGTGGGAGTGGTGGTGAGCGTGGCGGTGAGTGTGGCGGTGAGTGTGGCGAGTGTGGCGATGAGTGTGGAGGTGAGTGTGGCGGTGAGTGTGGTGGTATCACGGTGAGTGTGGTGGTGAGCGTGGCGGTGAGTGTGGGAGCTGCTCACCTGACAAAGAGGTCGGGGTGAGCGAAGAAGTCGGCGTACATCTCCAGCAGCGAGCGCCGCTCCAGGATGAAGGTGGGTAGCACGACCTGCTCGCAGGACGGGCCTCTGTGAGTCTCAACGAGTCTCTGTGAGTCTCTGTGCAACTCTGTGTATCTCTACAGGGCTCTGTGAGCCTCTGTGAGTCTCTGTGCAACTCTGTGTATCTCTACAGGGCTCTGTGAGCCTCTGAGTCTCAACGAGTCTCTGTGAGTCTCTGTGTACCTCTACAGGGCTCTCTGAGTCTCTGTGAGTCTCTGTTAGTCTCTGTTAGTCTGTGCACCTCTGTGTATCTCTACAGGCCTCTGTGAGTCTCAACGAGTCTCTGTGCAACTCTGTGCAACTCTGTGTATCTCTACAGGGCTCTGTGAGCCTCTGTTAGTCTCTGTGTAACTCTGTGTATCTCTACACGGCTCTGTGAGTCTCTGTGTAACTCCACAGGGCTCCATGAGTTTCTGTGAGTCTCTGTGCAACTCTGTGTATCTCTACACGGCTCTGTGAGTCTCTGTGTAACTCCACAGGGCTCCATGAGTCTTTCTGAGTCTCTGTGTAACTCCATAGGGCTTTCTGAGTCTCTATGAGTCTCTGTGAGTCTCTGTGCAACTCTGTGTATCTCTGCAGGGTTCTGTGAGTCTCTGTGAGTCTCTGTGCAACTCTGTGTATCTCTACAGAGCTCTGTGAGCCTCTGTGAGTCTATAATTCCACAGGGCTCTATGAGTCTCTATGAGTCTCTGTGTAACTCCACAGGTCTCCCTGAGTCTCTTCTTTGGTGGAAATACGAGTCCCCTCTGGAGGGAGGGAGAGGGTGGGAGGGAAGGGGCAGAGGGAGTGGAGGGGGGGGGAGCGGGGGGGAGGGAGGGAGGGGGGAAGGGAGGGCAGGGAGCGGTGGGGGCGGTGGGGGCGGTGGGGGTAGTGATGGGGGTGGTGGTGGGGGTGGTGGTGATGGGGGTGGTGGGGGTGGTGGGAGCGGTGGGGGTGATGGGGGTGGTGGTGATGGGGGTGGTGGGGGTGGTGGGAGCGGTGAGGGCAGTGGGGGCGGTGGGGATGGTGGTGGTGGGGGTGGTGGGAGCGGTGGGGGTGGTGGTGGGGGTGGTGATGGGGGCGGTGATGGTGGTGGTGGGAGCGGTGGGGGTGGTGGTGGGGGTGGGGGCCTCACCTTGGTGAGGTCCATGCCCAGCTTGACCTGGGACAGCAGGTGCATGATGACGCTCTTGTGGTCCTCCACCGACTCCCCCTCCTCCGAGTCGTTTTCGTCCTGCGCGTCGTAGCGCTCTGCCCCACGCACGACACGCACGACACGCACGTGTACGTACACACGTGCACGTCGCACGTACACGCGTCGCACGTTGCGTATACGTACACACTTACACGAGTGTACGTAGACACATACACGAGTGTACGTACACACGTACACACGTCGTCACGTCGCGTGTACGTACACACGTCTTCACGTCGCGTGTACGTACACACGTGCATGTCGCACTACACTCGTCGTCACGTCGCGTGTACACGTGTCGCCACGTACACACGTCGTCACTTTGCGTGTACACACGTCGCACGTACACACGTTGCCACGTCGCGTGTACACGTGTCGCCACGTACACGAGTCGTCACGTCGCACGTACACACGTCGCCACGTACACGCGACGCACGTGTACACGAGTCGTCACTTCACGTGTACATGCGTTGCCACGAACACGCGTCGCCACGCGCGCCGCGTGACCGATAATCGCCGCGCGACCGACTGCGGTAACAACGTGTCTCGTTGACAACCCTTTGTCGCTCCACTATCGGATGACAGGCGTCCGTGCCAGGAGGCCGGGGACGCAGGAGCGTCTGGCAATGCTGCAGAAATACCGCACCCACGCCGAGCCATGCCGGAACACATCGGTTCCACTCCTCACGAAAGCGACGACCAGGATGCGCCGCCGTGGATTTATTGAACCGCCAACAATCGACTGCCAAAGCCCCGCGTCAAACGAGGATTCGTTTCGAGCGCAGGCAGGTAGATGGCAACGGAGGTGAGGAGGAAGCGGAGACCGACAGGGGACAGAACGGCATTGTGGTACGACCCATTCTCACCCCCCCACCCCCCCCCCACGGTACACACCGTCGTTGATGCAGCCCGAGGCGATGGAGACCAGCGGAGTCCGACAGGGGACAGAACGGCATTGTGGTACGACCCATTCTCACCGCCCACTGTGTCCAAGCCCCCCCCGCCCCCCCGGTACACACCGTCGTTGGTGCAGCCCGAGGCGATGGAGACCAGCGACTCGGTGGTGGCGGGGTGCTTGAGGCCCGAGGCTCCCAATGACCTGAGTTCCACCCCGGGGACCGGACAGCAGCAGCAGTGGAGACGTCATCATCGTCGTCATCGTCGTCGTTGTCATCGTCGTCGTCATTTTCCGTGAGCGAGCGTATCAGCGTGAGTGAGCGAGCGAGCGAGCGTGTCTGCATGAGTGACAGAGCGAGTGAGTGAGTGAGCGAACGACTGAGTGAGTGAGTGAGCGAGCAAACGTAACACAGCGAGTGAGTGAGTGAGCGAGTTAGCGAGTGAATGACTGAGCGAGCGAGCGAGTGAGTGAATTAGCGAGCGAGTGAATGACTGAGCGAGTGAGCGAGCGAGTGAGCGAGCGAGTGAGTTAGCGAGCGAGTGAATGACTGAGCGAGTGAGTGAGCGAGTGATTGAGTTAGCGAGCGAGTGAATGACTGAGCGAGTAAGCGAGCGACTGACTGAGCAAGTTAGCGAGCGAATGACTGAGCGAGTGAGCGAGCGACTAAGCGAGTGAGCGAGCGACTCACGTGCGCGGGGGCTTGGGCGACGTGCTGTCGTTGGCGTCGCTGTCGTTGGCGTCGTAGAACTCGTCCTCGCTGCTCGAGTAGGAGATGTGTGGGACTCCGGCGGCGTCGCGTGGCGACGTCAACACAACCGCCGCCTCCTCCTCGAAGTCGTCGTCGTCGTCGTCGTCACCGCCGCCGCCGCTGCTGCCTGCCATGGGGTGACGACGGTGACTCGGTAATGACTCGGTAAACCGTGGTGAGGAGGTGGTGAGGTCGCGGTGAGGACGCGCTGAGGTCGCGGTGAGGACGCGGTGAGGTGGTGGTGAGGAGGTGGTGAGGTGGTGGTGAGGTGGTGGTGAGCGCTTGAAAGGAGGCAATCGAAATCGAGTAGCCGGGGGCTGGGAGCGCTGCAGAGTAGCGCTAACCACTGCACCACCGCTCCGCACAGCACAAAAACACAAAGATCCCCCGTGTAGCCTCTAACAGACTGTTGGGGCAAGTGCTGTTAGCGAGCACCTATGAAAGTCGGCGCTGTGGCACACGAGGGGGTGCTTGGGCCAGCACCACGCCCGGCCGCCTTTGTCTCCCCAGTGGCGATGTTTACCACGCACCGCACCAGCTACTCATTTGATGCCGAGTCCACCTAGGGGAGGAGGCCCAGGACCGGTTCGGGAATAATCGCCACCGGCGTTGGCCGACGAGCGGGAGTCGAACTCGCAGCGCTAACCGCTGCGCCGCCGCTCCCCGCCACCCGCCACCCACGCCGCCCGCCCGCCGTGGCCGTACCGGAGCCGTCCTCCCCGTTGCCGGCGCCGGCGTGCGGCGGCGCCGGCGGCGACTTGGCGATGCCGAGCGACGGTGCCGCGGGGGAGGACACGTCGAGGGTGGTGGGGCGCGACTCCGCCGACCCTCCGCCCGCCTGCCGCTCCCCGGCGGTGCCGTGGGAACCTGCGGCACACGGCGGTGGGGGGCGGTGGGGGGGCGGTGGGGGGCAGTGGGGGGGCGGTGCAGGAGACTCCGTCACCGAGCGGCTGCGCTGACCGCGACACCGCCATCGCTCGTTCGCCGCGGAAGGGTTCGGGCCGAGACTCGCGGCTCATGTCTCAACGCCGTCAATTACCACCGCCGCCTCGTTAACACCATCGCCTCGTTAACACCATCGCCACCACCACTCAATCAGCACCACCATCACCATCTCACCACCACCACCATCGACTGTTTAACACCATCACCACCACTCAATCAGCATCACCACCATCTCACCACCATCTCACCACCACCGCCTCGTTAACACAATCGCCACCACTAAATCAGCAACACAACCATCTCACCACCACCACCATCGCCTGTTTAACACCATCGCCACCACTCAAACAGCAACACAACCATCGCACCACCATCGCCTGTTTAACTCCATCACCACCACTCCAATTATCCCCGCTCCCCCGATCTACATACAATTTCAAACGCACGTACATACACACTACAACCATCTCAACAACACCACCACCACAACCACCGTCTCCCCGCTCACCGTACCGGCGCGCGTGAGCTCCGGGCGGCCGCTTGCCGTACCGGCGAGCACCACCGCCGCTTCCTCTCCGTCGCCGCTCCTCACCGCCTCCACCGGGTTCAGCGAGCTCTGCGTTGCCACGCAACCACACGGGTCTATGTGTGTGTGTGTGTCTCTGTGTGTGTGAGTCTATGGGTCTACGGGTCTCTGTGTGTGAGTCTATGGGTCTCTGTGTCTCTGTGTGTGTGTGTGTCTCTGTGTGTGAGTCTACGGGTCTCTGTGTGTGTGTGTCTGTGGGTCTATGTGTGTGTGTGTGTCTCTGTGTGTGTGAGTCTATGGGTCTACGGGTCTCTGTGTGTGAGTCTATGGGTCTCTGTGTCTCTGTGTGTGTGTGTGTCTCTGTGTGTGAGTCTACGGGTCTCTGTGTGTGTGTGTCTGTGGGTCTATGTGTGTGTGTGTGTCTCTGTGTGTGTGAGTCTATGGGTCTACGGGTCTCTGTGTGTGTGAGTCTACGGGTCTCTGTGTGAGTCTACGGGTCTCTGTGTGTGAGTCTACGGGTCTCTGTGTGTGAGTCTACGGGTCTCTGTGTGAGTCTATGGGTCTCTGTGTGAGTCTATGGGTCTCTGTGTGAGTCTATGGGTCTGTGTGTGTGAGTCTATGGGTCTCTGTGTGTGAGTCTATGGGTCTCTGTGTGAGTCTATGGGTCTCTGTGTGTGAGTCTATGGGTCTCTGTGTGAGTCTATGGGTCTCTGTGTGTGAGTCTGTGGGTCTCTGTGCGAGTCTGTGGGTCTCTGTGTGTGAGTCTACGGGTCTCTGTGTGAGTCTACAGGTCTCTGTATGTGAGTCTATGGGTCTCTGTGTGAGTCTACGGGTCTCTGTGTGTGAGTCTACGGGTCTGTGTGTGTGAGTCTATGGGTCTCTGTGTGTGAGTCTATGGGTCTGTGTGTGAGTCTATGGGTCTGTGTGTGAGTCTACGGGTCTGTGTGAGTCTGTGAGTCTCTGTGTGTGAGTCTATGGGTCTCTGTGCGAGTTTATGGGTCTCTGTGTGAGTCTATGGGTCTGGGTGTGAGTCTGTGGGTCTCTGTGTGAGTCTGTGGGTCTCTATGTGAGTCTGTGGGTCTCTGTGTGAGATGAGATGAAATAACAATTCTTATTATTGTTAAATTATCCTGGCGGCTGGATCTCACCTTGGCGATCTGCAGCAAGACGATGCAGTGCTTTATGGACTCCACCATGTTCTGTGGGAACAGCATGACCATCGTCATCATCGTCATCGTCGTCAACGTCGTCTTCATCATCATCATTATCGTCATCATTGTCGTCGTCATCGTCACCATTATCATCGTCATCACCATCATCGTGGTCACCATCTTCATCATCACCATTATCATCATCACCACCGTCATCATCATCATCACCACCATCATCGTCGTCATCACCACCATCATCTTCGTCATCACCATCATCATCGTCATCATCACCATTATCATCATCACCATTATCATCCTCATCACCATCGTCATCCCCAATCGTCATCATCATCGTCACCATCATCACCGTCACCATCATCATCACCATCATCATCGTCGTCATCACCATCATCGTCATCACCATTAGTTGCGTTCCAATTGCACGTTTCAATCGTGAACGTGACGCACTTTCACGCGGACGGAGACACACGCCCAACCAACCAACGCACGCCTGCCCCACGGGTAGCTGTCGTTGACAATGATGGATTAAATCGGGTTAACTTAATGAAGAGATTCTATTGGTGTGCGTGCATGTGTTAGTGTGGTGTGGGGAACGGTAGTGGCAGCGGTGAGTGCAACGCCGCACTACGAACGCTCGATTCCCGCTCACCGCCTCCAACACCGGCGACGATTATTCAAATCGGTCCTGGGCCTCCTCCCCTAGGTCGACTCAGCCTCGAATGAGTACCTGGTGCGGTGTGTAAACATCGCCACTGGGGAGACAAAGGCGGCCGGGCGTGGTGCTTGCCACCCACCCCCTCGTGTGCCGTGCCGGCCTTCATAGGTGCTCGCTAATAGCCACTTGCCCCAACAGTCTGTTAGAGGCTACACGGGGGGTCTTTGTCTTTGTGTAGGTGCTGCGCCTCGCAAACAGCACTTGCCCCAACAGTCTGTTGGAGGCTAAATGGGGGGTCTTTGTCTTTGTGTAGATGCTGCTACTCGCAAACAGCACTTGCCCCGACAGTCTGTTGGAGGCTAAACGGGGGGTCTTTGTCTTTGTGTAGATGCTGCTACTCGCAAACAGCACTTGCCCCGACAGTCTGTTGGAGGCTACACGGGGGATCTTTGTGTGTTTGTAGGAAGGGGTGGAGACTTACCATGGAGATCCCTTTGAGTTCTCCCACCTTCTGCAAAGGACAAACACAACGCAAACACACCACCGCTTACAACACCGCAAAGACACTGCTAACACACACCGCGAACAAACGACCGCTTACAACACCACAAACACACACTGCTAACACGCAACCGCTAACACACAACCGCTAACACATAACCGCTAACACACTGGCCTAGTAGGCCTCGGCAAGGCAAGGTAATTTACCCTTTTTTAGCGGGTAAACGGCTAAAAGGTAAGGGTAAAGGTGTCGACATGCCAAGGGGTGAAGTAAAGGGTAGGGTAAAGGTAGCTCGGAAGAATTACCCGGTAGGGTAAAAGTAGCGCTCTACCTAGCATTTACCTGTTATGAACCTTGTTCATGTGTAGTAGTACCCCAGTAATTACCCTGTAATCGGGTCATTTGTATGGGTAAGTGTAGGGTAAAGGTAGGCTCGTTGTTTTTTACCTTTTACCTGACCTTGCCGAGGCCTACCACCGAGACAAACACGCTCCGATACCACGGTGAAGCCGTGTGGAAACTCCCGGCATGGGGAGTTCACTCACCCTCCTTTGCTCTTCGTCCTTGCACAGCTTGAGCTTCTCATCGAAGCACTGCGGGGACACGGAGGGACGGCGGCACAAACAGCGGCGGCAGCGTGAGCGAGACGATGTCCCATTGCTTGTCTGCCTTCCCCTATGTCTCACAATCTCCTGGTGTCTGTCTAGGTGCCGCGGTGGATAGATGTTAACCACCTCGCCTGGTATACAGGAGGTCGTGGATTTGAGCCTGAATCCTGACGATGCCTGCTGCTGTATATTTGGAGTTTGCGTGTCTCTCTCTCTCTCATCATCATCACGGTGGCTAGGAGATGTTAACTACCTCGCCTGGTGTACAGGAGGTCGTGGGTTCGGTCCCGACCCTGACAATGCCTGCTGCTGTATATTTGGAGTTTGCGTGTCTCTTATGATCATCATCACGCTGGCTAGGAGATGTTAACTACCTCACGTGTCTACCCCCGTGTCTCTCCCCGTGTCTCCCCCCGTGTCTCCCCCCGTGTCTCCCCCCACCCATCTCCCCCCGTGTCTCCCCCCGTGTCTCCCCCCGTGTCTCCCCCCGTGTCTCCCCCCGTGTCTCCCCCCGTGTCTCCCCCCGTGTCTCCCCCCGTGTCTCCCCCCGTGTCTCCCCCCGTGTCTCCCCCCGTGTCTCCCCCCGTGTCTCCCCCCACCCATCTCCCCCCGTGTCTCTGCCCGTGTCTCCCCCGTGTCTCCCCCGTGTCTCCCCCCGTGCGTCTCTGGCACCTGCTGCTGCTCAATGAGGATCTGCAGGTAGGCGTCAGCTTCCGCCAGTTTCCGCTCAAAGTCCCCGCCGCCTGGCGTCAAGTTCAGCTCGGGGTCCTGGGGGGCACGGCAGAGGAGGGGGGTGGGGGGAGCAGGGAGGGGGGGGCAGGTTCACAAATGAACCCACAATGCTTTGCTGACCTCGTCAAGGAACATCAACCATCACGAAAACTTCGGTCATCCTCGCAGCAGCGGCTTTCGCCTGGCCATTCCCTAGGTCGACTCAGCCTCAAATGAGCACCTGGTGCGGTGTGTAGTAAACATCGCCACTGGGGAGGCAAAAGCGGTTGGGCGTGGTGCTGGCCACCCACCCCCTCGTGCGCCACAGTGCCGGCCTTCATAGGTGCTGCTCGCTAACAGCACTTGCCCCAATAGTCTAATCAGGTGACAGGGGGGATTTTGTTTTTGTATGTGTGTAAGGCAGTGTGTGTGTAAGGCAGCGTGTGTGTAAGGTAGCGTGTGTAAGGCAGTGTGTGTGTGTGTAAGGCAGCATGTGTGTGTATGTGTGTAAGGCAGCGTGTGTGTGTGTGCAAGGCAGCGTGTGTGTGTGTGTAAGGCAGCGTGTGTGTGTAAGGCAGCGTGTGTGTGTGTGTAAGGCAGCGTGTGTGTGTAAGGCAGCGTGTGTGTGTGTAAGGCAGCGTGTATGTGTGTGTGTAAGGCAGCGCGTGTGTATGTGTGTGTAAGGGAGCGTGTGTGTGTGTGTGTAAGGCAGCGTGTGTGTAAGGCAGCGCGTGTGTATGTGTGTGTAAGGGAGCGTGTGTGTGTGTGTGTAAGGCAGCGTGTGTGTAAGGCAGCGCGTGTGTGTGTGTGTAAGGCAGTGTGTATGTGTGTGTAAGACAGCGTGTATGTGTGTGTGTATGTAAGGCAGCGTGTGTGTGTGTGTGTAAGGCAGCGTGTGTGTGTGTAAAGCAGCGTGTGTGTGTGTAAGGCAGCGTGTGTGTGTGTGTGTGTAAGGCAGCGTGTGTGTGTGTAAGGCAGTGTGTGTGTGTGTAAGGCAGCGTGTGTGTGTGTGTGTAAGGCAGCGTTATGTGTGTGTAAGGCAGCATGTGTGTGTGTGTGTAAGGCAGCGTGTGTGTGTGTGTGTAAGGCAACGTGTGTGTGTGTGTGTGTAAGGCAGCGTGTGTGTGTGTGTGTAAGGCAGCGTGTGTGAGTGTAAGGCAGTGTGTGTGTGTGTAAGGCAGCGTGTGTGTGTGTGCGTCCGGTACCCTCAGCTGCAGCGAGTGCCTCTGGATCGTGTCTTCGAGCGCTCCGATCCACTTCTCCCGCTCGTCTGCGTCGCGCGCTGACGGAGAACGTTCGCAAACACTGAATCACTTTCACCACCGACAGTCAAGTCGACAATTCGAGTTCGACCCCCGATGAAGCTTGGAGAGCCGAATCGAGTTCAAAAGAACTCACAAACGCCTGGTGAAAGACCCAACGCAGAAGATCCCTGGGTTTGATCTTCCACGGAAGCTGATGGTCCACCCAAAACCACATCCACTGCACAAACCATTGCAGCAGATGTGGATACCTAATGCACCAATGGAAATTTTTAAACTCTCCAGTGTATATACAGCTCTTTTTTCAGAAGCGACCTAGCCATGAATGGTATTGTATGAATGTTGAACTTCTTTTGCACCGTACGAAGCCAACCGTGCTAATCCGAGGGAGCTCAATTAAGTGGCTTATCACGTGGTCAACAGCTAAGGCCCACTGAGCTTTACAGCTCTTTCTTTTGAGAAGCTACCCGGCCATCACCAATGATAGCTCAACGAAGTGGACTTATCATCACGTGGAAATGTACAGCGGTCAAATACTCTGAACGCGCGTTTGATCCTAAACGTGGCGGGAAAAACCGGAGGACCCGGAGAAAAATCCACGTGAACACCGGGAGAGAGACACGCAAACTCCAAACATACAGCAGGCGTCAGGGTCGGGATCGAACCGACGACCTCCTGTACACCAGGCGAGGTAGTCAACATCTCCTAGCCACCGTGATGATGATGAGAGAGACACGTAAACTCTAAATATACAGTAGCAGGCATCGTCAGGGTCGGGATCGAAACCACAACCTCCTTCATACCAGCTGTTGTCGGCTGTGTTGTCGGCTGTGTTGTCGGCTGTGTTGTAGGCTGTGTTGTAGGCTGTGCTGTAGGCTGTGTTGTCACAGCCTACAACACCTGTTATGAATAACGTTTACCCATCCAATCACTTTGCCAAGCTCAACCCCGCTTTAGCTTCCGAGCTGTGACGATACCGAGTGCATCCGTGGGCGACTTAGTCCCTGTGGTCTAATCAGCCTGAATAGAAGAATTTTTTCAGTGTCCAGCAGACTCTCGCTTATTCGCCGTGCGCGATTTTTGTCCAATGTGCGGACTAACCGCGCAACCTGAGATGTTGACGTACGTGAACAACTCATGCCCAAATTAATCATCTAAAGTCCAATTTTTGATTTAAAGCTTTCGTGACTGCAGGGATCCATCTTCTTGGTTGTTTCGGTAAAGTCACGTAGAATGGAAATAATAAAATAAAATACAACATAATAAAATCATTCTCACGACGTTTCGGCCACAACGCAAGCAGCCATCCTCAGGTGGAGAACAGGTCTGTCGAGAAGACTCTGTCTGACTGTCTTCTCGACAGACCTGTTCTCCACCTGAGGACGGCTGCTTGCGATGTGGCCGAAACGTCGTGAGAATTTCCATTCTACGTGACTTTACCGAAAGAACCAAGACGACATCTAAAGTCTGTTGCACGACATTGTTATTCTCGCCAATGCTTATTGCAAGTCACACGGCGCCTAAACCGCGCAAACAATCTGTTGCTCTCCTGTTCCTTCGAGACGCACGCGATCGCCCTCTGCAGTACAGTAGTTGCAATGTCTTGGAAAACAGTGGGGCGGAGTTTGGTTGATGTCGATGGGCTGTGGCTCTGCTGCTATCCACCCAGTGGGCAGGGAGCCTTCGGCGCGGGAGCAGCAAAGTGTTACGACCGAGCATGCGCGCGCATCGTCGATCGGTCGAACGTCAGTATTTAATTCTAGATTTGAAGCTTTCGTGACTGCAAGGATTCATATTCTTAGGTTTTTTCGGTAAAGTCACGTAGGTAAAACATTAAAATTAATAAAAGTAAAATATAATCAAAATCACGACGTTTCGGAGGCAACACAAGCTTCCGTCTTCAGGTGGAACCGTCACATCCACGACAGCTTGTGTTGCCTCCGAAACGTCGTGATTTTTATTTTATTTTACTCTTATTAATTTTAATGTTTTACCTACGTGACTTTACCGAAAAAACCTAAGAATATGTCAGTATTTGTTGACGGGCAAACTCAATCTTCCACGGGAAGATGGTTAGAGTTCGTGGATCATCCGCGATTCCGAATAATCAGCGGCCGTCCTCCCCATCATTGGCGCAGATAACCGAGCGTCTGCAGCATGTGTTGAGTTTTTTTTATTTGGTTTGTTCATGCAAGTAGGGAGTTACCCTGGAAGTGGAAAGTTTTCTGATCCACGGTGATGGTGAAAGTGCTGTCATCTTCATCGTCGATGCCAATCACCGCTCCCTACACACAGAGAGGAGAGAGAAGAACATCACAATCAACGCCAATAAAATCATTACCGTCATCGTCATCAGCGCCATCTCCATAGTCATAAAACAATACCAGAATGACCACCGATGCCTCCACCATTAAACCCTCACATTCACTATCATCGCAAAAACAACCCTTCCCAAATAAAACTATTCGAAAAAATATTTTTACTTTACCAGGTAACAGCTATGGAAGCTCTTTTTCAGAAGCGACCTGGACATCGCAAACCAAAGTTTAACGAAGTGGGCTTATTATCGCGTGGAAATTTATAGCAGCCAAATACTGTAAACGCGTGACGTCGATTCTAAATGTGGAGGGAAAAACCGGAGAGACCCGGAGAAAAATCCACGCGGCCACAGGGAGAGAGAAACGCAAAACTCCAAATATACAGCAGGTGTCAGGGTCGGGATTGAACCCACGACCTCCTGCATACCAGGCGAGGTAGTTAACATCTTTCCACCATGGCGCCCCAACACCAAAAACATCATAACAAATCGACACCAATAATACCATCGCTACCAAACACCACCGGTATCAACATCACCCAACATCACCCAACATCACCCAACATCACCCCGCACCACCAATTGCCTCTCCTTCCTCTGTTCGTAAGGAACGAGCAGCATTTATAATGGTAGATTGATCAAGCTTAGTCGGCCTCTCATGAACAACCGATTGTATCACCGGTGCCATCACGAGCGGCTGTAACATCACCAAAACCACCTCCACTTGTGACGATCTTCAACAACAACCGCCTTTCACCGCTAAGTCAAAATCTGAATATTTATTCATACTGGAGAAATCCGATGAGCTATGAAGCTCCCATTCACAGATGTTCAGGAGCGACAGTAACTGGCGGTGACGTCACCGCGGCGCTCGTGCCATGCTAGGTGCACCCTGAGGCGACGTGAAGTGTCGAAGGCGCGCCAGCAAGACGTCATGGGACAGACCCAGCAGATGCCACGTGTTTGACTGGCTGAGATGTTTCGCAGATGCACCACCAGCTGTGCTACCCACTGCGCCCAACTTTCTGTGTTTTTATTCCCCCCGGCACTCCGCTCGTCGTTGTTATGAGCGTCGCTCTCCCCGCCCTCCGTTGTTGCTGGAGGGCGACTGCCTCCAACTGCCCATTAGCAGCGTCCTTCACGACCACCACCACCGCCACCGCCGCCACCGCCGCCGCCACCAATACCACCACCGCCACCACCGCCACCGCCGCCACCACCGCCACCACCACCGCCACCACAATCAGCGCGCACGCTGCCACTCACCCGGAGTCGAACACAGCCCCGTCGGGACCCTCTCATCATCTTGTCTTTGGACTGAAATGAAAACAATAATGATATAATAATAAAGCACATTTCTCAAGTGGCACATTGCGTCCGTAGATCTCAATGCGCCCTGTAACGAAGACCTGAGCCAGTAGATTGATACCTGGGTGAGCTTTACTGGGTAAGATTAACAAAAAATGTTATATTTGTACATTTTTCAGTGACCTGTATACTTCCCCAACATTGTGCCACTCTAGAGCATCTAAGTTGCAAAACGAAGGGACAGGGAGGATGCTGACCACCAAATGTGCAACGCCCTTCACTACCTCTCCTCCAGTGGGTATGAGAGCTTCGGAAGACACCAGGGTTTGTAGAGTTAGTTTATTGAACCACGCGGTTAAGATGGGTTTTCCACTGCACCGTCATCCGTACTGTGTGTGTTGTGTGCCTGATGTCAACCACCCCTCGTCGTATCCTCCCCGTGTTGTGTACGGGAATCATCTTGTTAAAATATACAGCAGGCGTCAGGGTTCAGGATCGAACCCACGACCTCCTGCATACCAGGCGAGGTGGTCAACATCTCCTAGCCACCGTGGCGCCCAATCAACTGCTGGATGAGGGCCTCCCCACTCCGTGCGGGTAACACTGGTCAACGCACTTTTTCTGGCATAAGGTATTCCAATGGTTTTAAGGTAATTTTGGGGTGCTGATTCCAAATCTGGCAACAGTTTTTGTCTATCACATCAGGTTTTTGAAATATCAAATATTTAATTTTCAATAAAAACTGCGAAAGAAAAATATTAAATAAATGTGGATATCTACATAAAATGATATTATGAACACACTATCCTAAAAATACAGCACCATATTTTAACACTAAGCAGTCACTGACTCGCAACAACTTGCAATCATAAGTGACAGAGTTAATTTCTGGTAAAATCAATGAAAATGGGTGTGCCGATAGCATCACATCTCAAAAATGAGATGTGATAGAGCAAATCTGAAATCAGATTTGGAATCAGCACCCTGCAAAAGTCCAGGCCAGAAAAACATGTTAATTTTTTGTTGACCAGTGTAAAATCGGAGGTGACTGCACCACACCTCACCATGCTGGCCTGTGTGGGAATGAATGAAGGCGGTGTGTAGTACATGCAATGCGTTGTGCTGCAATGCCCTCTGCTGTTCACAAGGCAGCATAGCCACCCGCCCATACCCCCGAAGCGGCCTTTAACTTTGCAGGCGTTGTCATCATAGATCGAAGCGTCATGTTATAACGCTAGAGTTTGGGGGTTGGGTTAAGTGACCACACATACGTAGGGATCGGGGGTATCAATTCTAGATTTGAAGCTTTCGTGACTGCAAGGATTCATACTCAGTTCTTTCGGTAAAGTCACGTAGGTAAATAAATGAAATTATAAAAATAATAAAAAATAAAGCAATAAAAATCACGACGTTTCGGAGGCAACACAAGTCTCCGTCATCAGGTGGGACCGTCACAGCCAGATTTGCTGCATCACTTCACAGCCAGATTTGCTGCATCACTTGATGCAGCAAATCTTGATGCAGCAAATCTGGCTGATGACGGAGACTTGTGTTGCCTCTGAAACGTCGTGATTTTTATTGTTTAATTTTTATTAATTTTTATTTAATTTTTTTACCTACGTGACTTTACCGAAAGAACTAAGAGTATGAATCGGGGGTATCGTCATGCAGCGTATCCCTTACCCCACCCCTACGTCTTAACCCCTCATCCTAACCCTACGCACACCTACAACAACAACTCCCTCAACCCCAAACTGTTTCCTTTACTTGGCAGCCCTTTGATTGGTGGGAAAACCCACCACCGTCGCTGCCCACCGCTCACATTAACATTGGCTGCTGGCATTTGAGCTACGCCCACTTCAAACCTTTCTAAACAGTTTTTACCTTGAGAAGCTAACCCCCTCTTCCTGATGATGAACGCTTGTGCTGCGATCGAAAAGTCGTAGTTTGTTGTTATTTTCTTTAAACCTACTATCGACGTGACTTTACCGAAAGACCCAAAGAATGTTTCTTTAAAAGTAAACCTTTAACCCCCATTGTCTCTATCGCTAACCCACTTAACCGAACCCACGACCCAAGGCGTATCCCTGTACCTTTAACTTTAGATTTGCATGCTACTCAACCCTAATCCGACAGCTCTATCTTGACCCCTAGCCCATCACCGCACCCCTGTGCCCGTCATCCTTAACCGCGACTGACCAAACAGGTCACGCGTAGAAGTGACGTCCCTATTTACTGCTTACTCTGGTGTCCTTCCAACGCAACTACGGTTGGCACGGTTGGCTTATGCACGGTGCGAAAGAAGTTCAACGTACACACTCACCACAGAGACCCAGACTCGTACAGAGACCCATGGACTCACACAGAGATCCATAGACTCGCACAGAGACGCACAGACTCGCACAGAGACCCACCAGAGACTCACACAGAGACCCACAGACTCGCACAGAGACCCACAGACTCGCACAGAGACGCACAGACTCGCACAGAGACCCACCAGAGACTCACACAGAGACCCACAGACTCGCACAGAGACCCATAGACTCACACAGAGACCCACAGACTCGCACAGAGACCCACAGACTCGCACAGAGACCCACAAACTCGCACAGAGACCCACAGACTCACACAGAGACCCATAGACTCACACAGAGACCCATAGACTCACACAGAGACCCATAGACTCACACAGAGACCCATAGACTCACACAGAGACCCATAGACTCGCACAGAGACCCATAGACTCGCACAGAGACCCATAGACTCACACAGAGACCCATAGACTCACACAGAGACCCATAGACTCGCACAGAGACCCATAGACTCGCACAGAGACCCATAGACTCACACAGAGACCCATAGACTCACACAGAGACCCATAGACTCGCACAGAGACCCATAGACTCGCACAGAGACCCATAGACTCACACAGAGACCCATAGACTCACACAGAGACCCATAGACTCGCACAGAGACCCATAGACTCGCACAGAGACCCATAGACTCACACAGAGACCCATAGACTCACACAGAGACCCATAGACTCCCAAACTCTGCATCGAGCACTTTCAGAAGCTGCTGCTTCTGCGACCGTCTGGAACGCTCTCTTCCTTTCGATGTTAGGAAGTCACTGGTGAGCTGTAATGCACTTTTAAATCATCTATATTGACAAACGCATTCCTTTAGAACTGCTTCTTGTTGCTGTTTAATTTGTTATTTTTCACCCCGCACCTCCGATTAGTACGGTTGGCTACGTACGGTGCGAAAGAAGTTCCACCGTACAGACATTAGGAAGTCACTGTGCACTTTTTAAATCATCTTGATGGGCAAACTCATTCCATTAGAGCTGATTATTGTTGTTGTGTTTAGTTTGTTGTCTTTCACCCCGGCACCTCCGATTAGTACGGTTGGCTACGTACGGTGCGAAAGAAGTTCCACCGTACAGACATTAGGAAGTCACTGTGCACTTTTTAAATCATCTTGATGGGCAAACTCATTCCATTAGAGCTGATTATTGTTGTTGTGTTTAGTTTGTTGTCTTTCACCCCGACACCTCCGATTAGCGCGGTTGGCTACGTACGGTGCGAAAGAAGTTCCACCGTACAGACATTAGGAAGTCACTGTGCACTTTTTAAATCATCTTGATGGGCAAACTCATTCCATTAGAGCTGATTATTGTTGTTGTGTTTAGTTTGTTGTCTTTCACCCCGGCACCTCCGATTAGCGCGGTTGCCTACGTACGGTGCGAAAGAAGTTCCACCGTACAGACATTAGGAAGTCACTGTGCACTTTTTAAATCATCTTGATGGACAATCTCATTCCATTAGAGCTGCTTGTTGTTGTTGTTGTGTTTAGTTTGTTGTCTTTCACCCCGGCACCTCCGATTAGCGCGGTTGGCTACGTACGGTGCGAAAGAAGTTCCACCGTACAGTCGCACACACACACACACCCCGAGACCCAACCGCCTCTTCCCCCTCGCTCCGCTCCGCCGCGGCGGGGTCCTGTCGCCTCTCCCCGGGCAGGGTTCGCTAGGAAAGTCGGGGGGGTAGGTAGGTTGGACTAGGCCTCGGCAAGCTTGGACCGCCTCTCGCGCGCTTGGGCCCGAGGAGCGGTCGCCGGGCCCCTGTACCGTGTAGTAGGAGAGGAGGCCCGCGCTGTAGTCCAACACGAACCAGCGGTACTGCCATCCCTGCATCACGTTAGTCCACTTGCTCAGCGGGCCCTCCATCACGAACGCCATCGCAACCCCCCCCCCACCCCCCTTTTTTTACAACCCCCACCCCTACGGGGTGGGCGGGTGGGTGGGGCGTGGTGACGTCACTCAACAACACAGGCGCGGGGGGGGGGGAGTCACACGCGCCGTGCGTGATGACGTCACGCAACAACGCGGGAGTCGCACGCGGCGGGCGTGATGACGTCGGTTGACAACGCGGGAGACGCACGCGCCGGGCGTGATGACGTCGGTCAACAACGCGGGAGTCGCACGCGCCGTGCGTGATGACGTCGGTCGACAACGCGGGAGACGCACGCGCCGGGCGTGATGACGTCGGTCAACCACGCGGGAGTCGCACGCGCCGTGCGTGATGACGTCGCTCAACAACGCGGGAGTCGCACGCGCCGTGCGTGATGACGTCACACCACAATACCCGAGCGGGGGGGGGGGTCGGACGCGCCGTGCGTGGGCACGTCACTCAACAACACGGGCGGGGTGGGGCGGGGGTAGTGGCACGCGCCGTGCGTGATGATGTCACGCAACAACACTGGAGTCGCACGCGCCGCACGTAATGATGTCACTTCACAACAACGGAGCGTGGGGGGGGGGACACCGCGCCGTGCGTGATGACGTCACACCACAAAACCCGGAGGGGGGAGTCCCACGCACCGTGCGTGATTACGTCACTTGCTTGTGACGTCGTCGCGTAACCGTCGTTATGTTTTGGGCGACGTCACCGCCGCACGACCCCAACCCCTGACGATGACTGCTGTATATTTGGAGTTTGCGTGTCTCTCGAGATCGAACCCACGACCTCCTGTAGACCAGGCGAGGTAGTCAACATCTCCTAGCCACCGTGATGATGATGATGAGAGAGAGACACGCAAACTCCAAATATACAGCAGCAGCCATTGTCAGGGTCGGGATCGAACCCACGACCTCCTGTAGACCAGGCGAGGTAGTTAACATCTAGCCACCGTGATGATGATGAGAGAGAGAGACGCAGACTGCAAATATACAGCAGGCATTGTCAGAGTTGGGATCGAACCCACGACCTCCTCTTCATCTTCTTGGTTCTTTCGGTAAAGTCACGTAGAATGGAAATAATAAAATAATAAAAATAAAACAATAAAATTATTCTCACGACGTTTCGGCCACAACGCAAGCAGCCGTCCTCAGGTGAAGACCAGGTCTGTCGGGGAGACAGCGTCTGAATGAAACACCACGCTTGGAGCGTCTATTTAAGCTGGGTTGGAAGGGGGGGAAGAGCGCCTTGACAAAAGAATTTGCATATCAAGAGGAATTTAGCATATTTATGGTAAATGCAGGTATGTGATTAGTACTACTTGTGAAATGCGTAGGAGGTGGGCGGGGGGGTTTCAAAGTCATATTATGCCCGTACATTATGCAGGATTAGCAGCATCAAAGGGAGGGGATGTACACCAGGCGAGGTAGTCAACATCTCCTAGACCCCATGGGCGCCCCAAGAACTCAAGAGGGCGCCAGTTTCACGGCCGCATCTTTAGAGGTGGGGTGTGGGATTTTTGTACCTCCTGTTTAAGATCAATTCTCATCATAAGGAACAGGCGAAAACAAGAATCAGGATTCTTATTCATATCCCGACCCTGACGGTGCCTGCTGCTGCTGTATATTTGGAGTTTGCGTGTCTCTCTCATCATCATCACGGTGGCTAGGAGATGTTGACTACCTCGCCTGGTGTACAGGAGGTCGTGGGTTCGATCCCGACCCTGACGCCTGCTGCTGTTGTATATTTGGATTGTGCGTGTCTCTCATCATTACAGTAATTTTAGTAAAATTAAAATTTTAGTAAAAAAAAAAATGACAATTTTATTAAAATTATTTTTTTTGTAAAATTATAATTTTAGTAAAAAAATTATTTTAGTAAATTTACTGTAATTTTACTGGAGCAGTTACACCTGATGACGGAGGCTTGTGTTGCTTCCGAAACGTCGTGATTTAATTTAGTTATTTTCATTTATTATTATTTTATTATTTTTACCTACGTCACTTTACCGAAAGAACTTAAGAGTATGAATCCTTGCAGTCACGAAAGCTTCAAATCTAGCATGTGTGTTATTTCTTTATTTCGCGTGAATATTTTGGTGGGGGGTAGGTGGTGGGGTAGTTGCAGGTGTGTAAGGGGCCGTCCATAAATGACGTCACGCACCGAAGGGGGGGGGGGGGTCAGACATTTGTGACGACGTATGACGAGGGGGGGGGGGGGGTTGAGAAATGTAACGTCACATCAAAATGTGCAACTTTAAATAAATATAGACAACACGTTCTACTTAATTAAATATAATTTTTAATAAATGTTTTCTCCTACAACATCAAAGTGCAGCGCCACATTAAATACGCACTACAATGACAATAGTTCAAAGCGATTTGAAGCATCTTTTTTGGGGGGGGGGAGGGGGGCAGAGATTTGTGACGTCATATTTAAGGGGGGGTCTGACTTTGTGACATCGTGTGACGAGGGGGGGGGTCAAAAATCGTCAAAAATGACGTCATTTATGGCCGCGTGACGTCATTTATGGTCGGCCTCTAAGTGTGTATGTGGGGAGCGGTAGTGTAGTGGTCAGCGCGCCACGCTACGAACCTGGCGACACGGGTTCGATTCTCGCTCACGGCCAACACCCGGTGACGAATATCTGAGCCGGTCCTGGGCCTCCCCTAGGTCGATTAAGCCTCAAATGAGTACCTGGTGCGGTGTGTAGTAAACATCGCCACTGGGGAGACAAAGGCGGCCGGGCGTGGTGTTGGCCACCCACCCCCTCGTGTGCCGTGCTGGACATCATAGGTGCTCGCGAACAGCACTTGCCCCATCAGTCTGTCAGAGGCTACACGGGGGATCTTTGTCTTGTTGTATGCCCCACGTCAACACACACCACTGTGTGTGTGTTGACTCTCGTTGGCCGGGGGGGATTTCCCACTCCTCGCCTCCACCACCCAATACCAACACACCCGCCATTCGCCACGAAGTGACGGTCACGCCACCACGGCGCCTGTGCCAGGCCAGGTGCACTTTGAGGCCATCGCGTGAAGTGTCGAAGGCTCGCTCGCTGACAGGAGGTCACGGGACAGACCCGATAGGTGCCATGGGTTGACTGCTGCTGTGCCAGGCTAGGTGCACGAGGAGGTCACGGGACAGACCCTGCAGGTGTCATGGGTTGACTGCTGCTGTGCCAGGCTAGGTGCACGAGGAGGTCACGGGACAGACCCTGCAGGTGCCATGGGTTGACTGCTGCTGTGCCAGGCTAGGTGCAGGAGGAGGTCACGGGACAGACCCTGCAGGTGCCATGGGTTGACTGCTGCTGTGCCAGGCTAGGTGCAGGAGGAGGTCACGGGACAGACCCGGCAGGTGCCGTGGGCTGGCTGACCGAGATGACCGGTAGATGCACCAACGAGCTGTTTCCCCCCCCACCCCTTACCGTGCCAACTCGCTGTATTTTATCCACCCCCAGCGCTCCGCTCGTTGTTGTGAGCTCGCGCCGCTCCCTCTGCCCCCTCCGTTGCTGGAGGGGGCGACCGCCTCCAACTGTAGCCCAGTAGCGGCGTCCTTCACGAGCCACCATCACCACCATCACGTGGGTGTTGGACAAGGCTCGCGAAGGACGCTGCTACTGGGCAGTTGGAGGCAGTTGCACGACCGCCTTTGTCTCCCTAGTGGCGATGTTTACTACACACCGCACCAGGTCACTTATTCGAGGCCGAGTCGACCTAGGGGGGGGGCCCAGGACCCGGTTCAGAATAATCTCCACTGGGTGTTGGTGGCCGTGAGCGGGAATCGAACCCTATACGGGAGTGGTGATGGTGGTGGAATCTTCGTATTTGTCTCTCTGTGGAGGTCACCGCGGGTCACGCGGAGTGGCTGGGCGAGTGGGCACGTGCTCGGTCGGGTTTAAATGCCTCTCCCCCCCTCCCCCCCCTCAACACGTGAGTGGGCACGCCATCTCGAGCGGAACTCGAAGGTCCGCTCTGCGCTCTGCACCGCCACCGCCGGTTCGTGCCGGACGCGGCTTGGGAGCCGAGACGGATTCCGAGGCGTGGGGGCGTGGGGGGGGACGTTGAGGAGGAAACTTCTCTCGCCCATTCGGCCCACGCCACTCCCGCTCGCTCGCTCTCTAAGCCGTCCGGGGCCACCCAAGTTCGAATCCACGGCTAACAAACTACACAACATGTCTGCTTCTTTTTCGATTTAAAGTTTTCGTGACTGCAGGGATTCATCTTCTTGGTTCTTTCGGCAAAGTCATCACGTAGAAACGTCGTGAGAATTATTTTATTATGTTTTATTTTTTATTATTGTATTACTTCCCCTTCTACGTGACTTTACCGAAAGAACCAAGAAGATGTCTGCTTCTTCTTCCAATCTTTTTGCCGGTATCAAAATAATGGGGGGAGGGGGGGAATAGGCTTTACCTAAACTATAAACATTTTTTTTTTACCAAGTAAATGGCTCTTATTGCTACTAAAAATAGCTCTTCCTGTTACTGCTTTTATTTTACCAGGCCCCACTGATCTACGTAGCTATTTTACAGCAGCAACGTGGTTATCACAAATGCTTGCTTCAACGAAGTGGGATTATCATCTTCATCATCATGATCGTGTGGACATTTATAGAAGCAGCCAAACACTCTGAACGCGTATCGTTGATTCTCAATGTGGAGGGGAAAACCGGAGGACCCGGAGAAAAATCCATGCGACCACGGGGAGAGAGAGAGAGACGCTAACTCCAAATATACAGCAGCAGACATCGTCAGGGTCGGGATCGAACCCACAACCTCCTGTACACCAGGCGAGGTAGTTAACATCTCCTAGCCACCGTGATGATGAGAGAGAGACACGCAAACTCCAAATATACAGCAGCAGGCGTCAGGGTCGGGATCGAACCCACGACCTTCTGTATACCAGGCGAGGTAGTCAACATCCCCTAGCCACCGTGATGATGATAGAGAGGGAGACGCAAAATCCAAATATACAGCAGGCATCGCCAGGGTCGGGATCGAATCCACGACCTCCTGTACACCAGGCGAGGTAGTTAACATCCCCTAGCC